TTTATTTTTCTGTTTGGGTTCTTATTGTAAATTACCATGTACTTCTGATTCCCCCCCCCCAAAAGTAAGATATCAATTCCCACTGATTTCCCCCCAAAGTAAAATATGTCTGCAGATATAGGCAGTTGTCATGAGAAATAAAATGTTTATGTTGGTTGGGGCCCCACTGGGGGATTAGCAGTGGATGGAGCTGGTTGATCCAGTAACAATAGATTCCACCTCTCTGTATGCTGCCCTTCCCATACCTAAAATTCTTAGATTTTAATCTTTGGTTTTATTTTTGTTTTAATCTGTTTTTTGTATCTTGTCTTTGTCTTTGTTTGTTTTTTGGTATCCCACTTGTTTGTTAGCCGCCCTGAGTCCCTCGGGAATAGGGCGGCATGCAAGTATAATACAACATACAACATACAACATAGTCATCAAAAATACATTGACATTAAAACAAAAATAAAACCAAAGATTAAAATCTAAGAATTTTAGGTGTGGGGAGGGTAGGGCAGCATACAGAGAGGTGGAATCTGTTGTTACTGGATCAACCAGCTCCATCCACTGCTAATCCCCCAGTGGGGCCCCAACCAACATAAACATTTTATTTCTCATGACAACTGCCTATATCTGCAGACATATTTTACTTTGGGGGGAAATCAGTGGGAATTGATATTTTACTTTTTGGGGGGGGGGAATCAGAAGTACATGGTAATTTACAATAAGAACCCAAACAGAAAAATAAACAAAAAAGTAAACAAAACAAACAAAAGTAAACAAAAAAATCAAAGCTGCAATAACATTTAATCCCCAAAAGTTATCTATAAGGGTAGAAAGTGACAAAATGTATGTTGCAATGCATAGTCTGTTCTTTCCATATTTAAGTATGACATCATTAATACAAGTATGGCAGAGCAGACTTTGCAACTTGATCAGTGGTGGGATTCAACCAGAGTAACAACCAGTTTGCTTCATGCGTGCTTCGCGGAAAAATCTAATTTGTGTATCACAAATTTCTCAGACTTCAGTTGCCAATTGTGGGTTTATGGAGGCAAGCTGAGTTACAAAGCCCTTAGCAAATGTTGACAGTGCCCCCCTTTTGCAAGCCTGATTACAGAATTTGTGAGCCCCTTTTAAATTATTTGCAATGCTAAGGATTCAAAATAATTGGGGAACATTCTGAATAAAACCAATGAGAGAAGGCAGTTGAATTGTTGCCTTTCAATATGGAGTGCAATTTCAATCTGTGAAGGAAAAGCAAAAAAGTGCAATTTAAGGCCAAAAAGTAGAGGGAAAAGATCTGTACTTTTAGAATCTATTGTGAAGCTATCGGCACCTTACTGGGGCATCCTATGACTAAGCTGCGAAACTAAACCACCACAGGATGGCAGCAGAACATTAGAATTTTCCATCTTTCTTTGCTAACATCTAGTGGCTGTTTGGATTTTTACAATCCAGATCCTGTAGCCATGGCAATGTAGTTGGCCAGTCAATGCTATTTCTATAGCTTACAAATACTCCCCTGATATGACCACTCTCAAGTTATTTCCACCAGCAGGATTTCAATTTCTTCCATTCTGAAATGGATGCCCAAAGGCTAAAATCACTGTCATTCCTTCCAGCTGACCTACACTAAGCACATTGTCTGTCCAGCATTTAAATGACATGGCGTCACAGCCTTGCTGGGCTTGAGCCTTGCTTTTCCAAGCCCAATGAAATACCAACTGAGATGGAAGGAATGCAATTTAAATAGGGATGAGTACTTAAAGCTAAACTGAAGTGGCAAATAGAAGGAACATTTTTTTTTTATCTGATGCACTGAGAGAGGAGAAATTAATACAATCTGGAACTATGCATGCCCATAC